TTAGTTAGTGACATCCAAGCTGCCTGCTCTGAAGGAATAAAAAAGCTCTGTTGCAATGCCTGACAGAAACTGGTTACAAGGTGTCTTGGAAAAAGACACAAATCTACAACAGTCAGATAGCTGGGAATGGATCAGATAGCTCCTGATTTATCAGGAGCACCATGTCCTCAGACCAGAAAGAAAAGAGGTCATTTGCTCCAACGTGGGTCCAATCACAAGAAAGAAATGCTGCAAATTATTTGGAGGTGCTAGCTGCAGAATCTGGATCCCTGGGTTCACAGAAAAAGCAAGGCCCCTATACAAGGCCTTGTCTGGAAAAGACTCTAACACCTTTAACTGATTTTATAAAGTACGGTATAGGTGGCTACTTCCTGTAATTAAAACTTTAGGGGAGACTTAAGATAACTAAGTGATTCAACTCTAACTTGACAGCTCCATCAAGAAGGAAAAGTGTTTTCCTACATACATAAAACAGAAATGGTCCCCATCCTTCAGACCTCCCCTGCATACCCATTTTCACTGGGAGACACAGTTAGGGGTTATGGACTGAAAACAAACCCTAAGAAACCTCTCCAGACCTCATGGAGGGGGCCATGTATGATAATACTAACCATCCCTACAGCTGTTTAATGCTGTAGAGATCTAATCATGGGTGCATCAAGAGAACCCATCCCTCTATTAGTCAGGGTTGGGAGGCATCACCTCACTCAGACAACCACTTGAAGACCATCTTCTGTCTTCAGAGGTTGAAGCATAAGGACATCGACCTTGGGATGCTGTATGGGTTGCTCCCTTTTTTTCCTAGTGTGCCTTATAACTGCAACCTTGCTTTTTGCTATGGGATACTCTGGACTCACTGCCATTCATTGGTGAAAACTACAAAAATGCATGTTTTTACTGCTGTACTTATTGTCAATCCTGGAATAGCTTACCCTCAGCTACTTCCAGGGGCAATTGGGAAACACCTAACCCTGAATGTCACTGCCACTGATAAACCCATAACTGTCAAGTTTGATGCTTGCCCTGTATTTCCATGTGGAGACACCACTGAAATAAGTCATCTCCCAGGTTCTTTTGACACAGCTATCTACATAGATGGGGACAATTGGGGTCTCATGAGGGGTCCTCAATAAATTTAAAGCCCAGGTAACTTCAGGATTTGAAAATTCACTGTTCTGATGGTTCACTATGAACAAAAATATAAACTGTATATACTATATTTACTATAATCAACGAAGATTTATAAATTATACCCAGGATGCTATTAAGGAAATAAACAACTTGTACCCACCAGCTAGGTGGCCTGGGAAGATAGGCTCGCTCTGGATATAATTCTAGCAAAAAAGGTGATGTCTGTGCTATGATTAAAATCCAATGCTGTGTTTCATTCCAAATGGCACTGCTTCTGGTAGCACAATCATCAAGGCCCTTCAAAGCCTGACAACCCTGCAAGAAGAACTAACCAAAAATGCTGGAGTTAATGATCCCTTTACAAGGTTACCAGAATAATGATTTGGCAAATGAAAGGGATTCACGGCCTGCATACTACTTCCCTGATCATTACTACTGGAATTATCATTGTATGGGTTGCTGCATAATCCACTGTGCACGCAGTTTAATTCAGAGGTTAACTGAGACGGTTTCCTAGAAGGAGAGACCACAGATTACCTGAGCTTGTTGTACTTAAGCCCTAAACTCAACAGTCCCTCATAGACTCCAGTGACGATTCCCCTCAGAGCCCCTGAGGAGCAACAAGAGGGTGAAGTAAAGCAGAAATCCTGACCTAACTGCAGCTACTGTTTTCTGCAAAGCTGCAGCCCTTTCATTCTCTGCCACTGAACTCAGTCAGCTGTCATATGAGGTTATCAAATTAAAACTTCTGTAAATTTGGTAAAAACAACTTTGCTACATACAATTGTGCTCTCTACAAGATACCCACTATGCCATGGCCCTCAGCTACGCTTATCTTAGTATTTTTGTAATGCTGGCTTGCACCCCCACCTCACCCCCACTCCCCCGCCGCCATATAAAGGACAAACTTTCTGCCTCAGATGGTGGAGACTACTCCTCTGGTGTCTGCCAGTGTTAAGTAAAATCTTTTTTCTTCCGAGCTCTTGGCTACTGTTGACTCAATTTCCCCCCAACACTACCTTATTCTATAATTTATGCTAACTTTGAACATTGCACTCTACTGGAAACCTGCTTGCTACTGCCACCCCAAATTTGATGGTACTTCCTCCAGCCCTTGAGCCTACTTTTCCTTTATCTAGGAGAGCTGGAGCAGCTGGTTCAGACTCGGGAATTTGTCCTTTGGGTGGATGAGCACTCCAGTTTCTTTCCCTTGAAGGTTTTTTCAGCCATAAACCAATTAATTCAGCAGCCTCAATTGCAAAAAAAAAAAAAAAAAACCCAAAACACCAGGGAACAAAAATGGAAACTTGTGTTGAAAAAGAAAACCTGAATATAACTGATTTTTCAACCCACAAATGAAGATCCACCCAAAGTCTCTAACAGGGCATTTTGTGTTATCTGATACAAGCTGCACAAACTCTTTGAATCCGGGTGTTCTGATCTTAGGAAACAATGCAGAGAGTACCACATCTGGCTCATCTTACCAGGTCTTTGAACTTCTATCCACAGAATACTAATTCCCTTGAAATCCTAAGCTCCTTTGTGGCATGTCTACGATTGATCTTTGGACTGATAGCTTATATAGGTCACTGATTTACACACAGCAGGATGAAAAACTAAAGTGTGTAGAAAGACTGTAAATGTTGAAATGTGGAACATCATATAAACATATATTAAAAATTGGAAACAATATATATAAGATTAAATAAAGTATGCCATGACCATGTAATAGAATATTGGATATTTTCTAGACAGGGTTGTCTTTGCTATTGTTATTTTGAACTGGGAGACTGTTGCAATATACTAGTTCATTATTTAGAGAGATCTATTTGTATGTGGATAGTGATATTGACATAGGAAAAATGTAACCCCTGATCTATAAGATGTGAAACGTGCTGAGTTTGTGTTCTCACAATGTTGGGGAATGAAGCTTTATTTGTAGCAAAGGAAAAAGCTGGGAGATTTTTATTGGAAAACAGGAGGAAAAAAGTAGCCTCTAGCCTTAAAGAGCGCCCCCAAGTGTCAGGGTATTTGTACAGCAAGATTACCACTTCTGTGCAACTATCATCGAACTATATGATTACAAGTTAGCTGCTCAGGTAGTATCAATCTGGTAGAAAAGCGAGTTACATGGCACGGGTATATGGAAAGGATAAAGGCGATTTTGGAAAGAGATGGATCGAGATGCTCTGGTCTCCCACCCAGGCAACTGATGCCTATCTGGATTCATGGGACCAGATGGTACTAATTACAGAATAATTCCAACTTCCTGTGTATCCTCAGGGAGGCCTGCAGGCCTGGCCATTGCACTTTCATCCTGAGGCCTGGCCTTCTGCAGATGCGTCTCCAGCCACACTTCTGAAGTCTGTGAGTTCTGTGCTAATTTTCTTGAGGGCCCAGTCCCTCTCCGACTGTATATTAATGTCTGTCTAGCTTAGCTTCCCATAACAATATGCTGATGAGAAGCACGTACTTTCCCATAAGCATGCTGCATTTCCTCGGTTACCACAAGAGCTGAAAGGAAGGAGCCTGTGGGTGCTCCTCCTGACTTCTGAGCTCCTTACCGCACCACAGAGGCAGCTTATTTTCAGGGATATGTTTTACATCCGAGGAAAAAAGCCACTCAAAATCAGGCTTGGGTCGGGAATTTAGCTCAGCGGCATAGCTCAGCGGAAGGTCACGAGTTCGATTCCCGGTACCAAACAAAACAAAAAACTGGGCTGATCAGTGTTATAACTCAGGCGCTGGTATAAAATCCAAGGAAGCAAGAGACCAAAAATTTAGGTAGCAAAGGCTTTATTTCCAGGCCTGGCGACAAGTCTCCGGGAGCCAATTTGGAGACTGTGTCCCAGAGACTGAAGGGAGGACTTTAAAAAGAGGCTGGAGGAAAAGGGGGGGGGGTGGGACAAAGAAACCTGCAGAGTCATCAAACTTGTTGACCCGAGTCTGGAAACTGTATTGCTGTCCACTTAGCTCTGACAATCTCGGGAGTTCCTGGTGTTTCTCAAATTACTCCCATCCTACAGACTGACATTATCTCGGAGTGGCACATCTATAGCAATATTTGGAGAAGAAAGTGGAGAGTTAATTATCCCAGGACAGCTCGTTTTCGCTAGTGGGTTCAAAGGGGTCAAGAGTTACAAGAAGCTGAAACTTAAGTTTTACAAAGATCTGATATCTAACTCATTTGATGCATACAGAACAAAAGGAAAGCACCGATTGGGGTTTGGGCCATAGTATTTCCCGGTAATTTCTTTGAAGCTAAACAGTTCTTAAAATTGGGGCAAACTCATTTTATGACAGATCATCACCGGGTCGGGAAGAGGTCACCAGAAACCCAAATTCTTTATGGCCTAGATAGATAGGTGAGGGGAGAGGGAGGCAATAAGGTGCCATACAGAACAGAAAACGGCGGTTATGTGTCAAAGTCAGGTAAAGGGTTAAACTCACACGCAAATCTCTCTACACACAAGCAAGTTACTTCAAACAAGTGTAAATTAGTGGGCCATCCTAGTTTTCTTTAGCTCTTTAGCGGAGAATAGAGGCGCCTAACAGTGATTAACAACCCTTGTTAGCTTGTTTTAGCACAACTTCTGTAGAGGGCAACAATGCTTAACATATCAATTAGGTGAGATTCTTGCAATTCTTTACAGAGGAGAGTATTGCTCAACATATCAATTAGGTCACTTAACATACCAGTTAGGGAAAAAGGATAAAAAAACACATTTAGTAAGCCACATTGCAGGTCTGCTATAATACACAAAATAATGAAGGTATTTTCCTAGAGTACAACAATCAGTACTCTGCTCATCAGATTTTTCCTCGTGCAACAGGAAAAATCATTTCTGGGATTCTGCTCCAACGCCTTAGCAAGTGCTTTCGAAGTTCTCAGCGACTCCACTGGGAGAACTCCCGGGTCCAAGGACCGATGCAGAGGGCGTCCAACCTCCTCCTCTCCCGGTGGGCTTCAGCGCAGCCGCAGCCCGCAGCAGGAGCCACAGGGCTCCCACTGGCCCTAGGCACAGCAGAGATTGTTTTGCCAAGGAAAGGCGCTGTGTGGGCCGGGTTCGTTCTGGGCTCCCAAGGAGGCTTTAAAACCCTGTCCTTTGGGTCCCTCCACTCCCATCTTCTGCTTTCCTCGCAGGCGTCAGGCTGCGAGGAAAAGCCGCAAGCTCCGCCGCAGGCGGCCCAGCGTGGGCTCCGAGAAAGGGAGCCGTTAGGCGACGTCCCCGCGACCCCGCGCCGCCCAATCAGCGGGCGGCTTTCATCGGTTGGCCGCTCCTCGCGCACGCACAGCGGTTCCTTCAACGGTTTTTAGGGGAGCAGCGTCGAGGACCAGGCGCCTGCTGCTTGCGAGTCGCTCCTTCCCAGCCGCCCGCCAAAGCGCTGCTCCCCGCGGGAGCGGGACGTAGGAGGCGGGGCCGCCCCGGTCTCCCGGGCGCGCCTTGCTCTCGCTGTGCCGTTAGGCGGCTCTGAGACGCCGGCCTCGAGCTGCAGAGGACCGCGCCGCCTGGGCTGTGCGAGGAGAGGCGCGCTGGCGAAGATGGCGGGCGGCGGAAGGTGCGGCGCTGCCCGGCCGGCTCGCTTTCCCGTTCGTCCCTCGCGTAGCGCCTCGGGTGCGCGGCTGGCTGGCGGCTCGGCCTGGCTCTCGGGGAGCGGCGTCACCGGCGCGCCGTGCGAGGCCCTCGCTCCCCGGGCTTCCGGCTGCCTGGTGAGCGGGAGGAGAGAAGAGCCCGGCGGGCGCCAGGGTGCCGGGACGCCTCTCCGCGCTTGTGGCAGCGGCCCTCCGGGAGCGGAGGGGCGCCTTCTCGCGGTGAGCTGTGCAGCGACCTCCGTGGGAGAGCGGAGCGCGCCAAGGAGAAACCCTGAGGTTCAGAGTGGAGATCAGGCTTTGCTGTGTATAAGAACCTCTGGGCTTTTATTGTTCTTAGTTTATGGAAAAAGTTAAAATAGCAGGTAAAGAGCAGGCTTTTTGCTGGTAGCTTTTTAAAAAAAAAGATAATAAGGCGGGGGCTGGGGATTTAGCTCAACGCATAAGCGCCTGCCTTGCCAAGCACGTAGTCGTGAGTTCGATCCCCAGTACGGATAAAAAAATTTAAAAAAAGATAATAAAAATCCTAGAAACAAACCAGAACAAAGCCAATCAAAACAAAGCAGCACAATTGTTACAGAACTTCAAAGTGTTAGGTTTTCAGTGCGATAGAGAAGCAAAAGTCCAAAAAGAACAGGTTTATTGAGATGCGGATGTGGAAAGAAGCACACAACCAATTGGGCTGCTCTCATTCCACCAGAATAGGGGCCATAGGGGAGATATATAACCTTTGAGTGGAGGTGGTGCTTAGGGTGGGCATTGGTAATGCGTAAAGAGCTGATTGGAGTTTTCTTTTCGTGCAAACAGGAAGGGAGTTGCAATTAGGGCTGAAGAAGAAGCAGGAACGAGTAGGCGCTCCCACTTTGCCCTCTGCCATGTTAGACCATCGCCATAACCATACAGTAATTTATGCTAGAGCAAGAACCTTTCATTCCCCTCTTTGTATTGTTAGGAAAAGGACAAAGTCTCTCTCTTACTACTTCCCACTGAAAAGGAGTGCCATATTGGGGTGCAGGTAGGTTGACGGGATGATGGTTCATACCCCTATAGAAGCTGGTACCAGGTGTTTCAGCCAGGATAAGAAATCAATCACTGGTGAACGCTTGCATCTAGATTGGAGAAATAAAAACACAAGGTGCTATAAGAAGCTGATCACAATCATAATTAAAGGACCCAGAAAGGGTAGAAGGAAAGTGCCCTTGATCCAAATGTGTCATTCCATCAGGGCCATGGTGAGGAAGAATCTGAAAAATAAGCATGGGGTTGGGAGGGCTGGTGTTAGGAGAGGTAATTATTCTCCCATCTGAAAGGGTAGAAGTTAAAAGTAGGTAGATAGGGGCTGGGGATTTAGCTTAGCGGCATAGCAACCTGCCTTGCAAGCAGGTCGTGAATTCGATCCCTGGTACCGAAAAAAGTTAAAAAACAAAAGTAGGTAGATAGGGCTCGTCTTTGGTCCAGGAGTTGAGCTGAAAAGAATAAGCAGCATTACAATGCCAGGGATCAGGAACCAAATAGGGTAACTAAACATGACCTAGCCTGAAAATTGTGGCTGTGGGGCCTTGGTGAGATGGAGATGGGAGATAGGAGATGAGATGACCTCCCAGAATGTGTAGAATCTGGGGAGTTAGGGTTAGAAGGGGACCATGTAGCTTGAGTGATGTGGAACCAGGGTGGTAGTCCAGCACCCCTGACCACCATTGAAGTTCTGAGGAAGGCTGGGTAGGGACCACTCCATTTTAGTTGTAATCCTTGGAATGATTTCCTGTAACAGGACTTTGGTGTTATGGATTAAGAACTAGTGGTCAACTTAATGCCAGCTGGATTACATCAGCATGGCCCTGAGCAAAGATGCTCCAGGAAAGTTGCCAGCATAAATAGGTGGAGAAGGAGATTGTTAATGCGTTGATGCATTATTTATTGTACTGTGTTGAGGCATTGTGAGTTTTCCTACGAGTTGCTGTTTGAGCCATTGGTTTTCCTGGAGAAGCTCTGGTCCTCACATTGAGCATTGCTTTTTAGCTCCAGAGGGGAAGACGTGTGCCACTTGGTCTCCAGGATAAACTCGTCACATTGCCCTCCTGGCATGTACTCAATTGTGTTTGTCATTGGAGAAGCTCGGGGCCTCCATGTCGCTGAGGATGGCTGTGGTGCCTTTCAGGACAGCCCTGGTCTTTTTTGTGAGTGTGACTTTTTGGCTCCAGTGTAGAACCCTCATCTCACCAGCACAGCTTCTTCACTCTGCTGGCATGGACTTTCTGGCTTCCACCACTGACCTTTGGCCATTCCCAGCATGGATCTGTAAAAGAGACTGATGTGAGTCCTTTTTGTGGGCTCTGGACCTTCAGTTGGACTCATGGGAGGCATAGTCATGAGCTCTGGGTTTTTATCTGGACTCATGTGGGACATTGCTGTGGGATTTAGGCCCTTGACTAAATATTCTATGTTCTTGGTGTTGTGAATAGACTTCCTGCATTTTGTGTTAATTCCTGGTGACCATTATAAAAATATTATAAACTTCATGTCCTGATTCTAATTGTTCTCTGCACAACCCCTGACTACAATAGTAAGTACATGAGCAGTCTCCCTGGTTGTGGAAAAAGCTTTTATCCATCTGAAAAAGTAAAAACAAAGGTGAGAATATATTTGAGAGTTTTGTGGCAGGGCATGTGTATAAAATCTATCAGGGGTGTGTCTGAAAATTGATGAAAAGGAAAGGGGGGTGCTATGTGTCCCTAAGGAGAGGTTTTACTGTAGGGATGACAGGTGTAAGTTGTTGAGACCTCAGAGTGTCTGGTTCAGTCTACATAAACACAAGGAATAAAAAAGGGCATTTTTAACATCTCTGACTATAAAGTGAGTGGTGGAGGGAGGGATATGAGAGAGCATGTAAGGGTGTAAGGGTTTGGCATCTCTGGGTGGATTGGGGTAATGGCATTATTGACTACCCCAAGGTCCTGCACTAGACAATAAGACCCATCAGGCTTGAATACCAGGAGAATGGGAGTATTATAGGGTGAATGGGTAGGCTTAAGAAAACCATTGTCTAAAAGGCGCTTGATTATAGGTTTAAGTCCCTGTAAATGTTTGGGAGCTATGGGATATTGGAGAACACAAGGAAAAATTGAAGGATCCCTGAGATGAATTAAAATAGGCATGGCATGGGTAGCGTGGGTGGGATTAGAAGTATCTCAAACTATGGGATTAACCAGAGAAGAAGGGAGGGGAGGGGATGGCTTTGCAGCACACTATGAGGGTGGCTGGAGAACAGAGAGATAGTGAGAAGGTAAAGGAGAAAAGTTAAGCTTTTGAAGATCTCTACCTAAAAGGGATGTGGGATGCATTGAAATTGCTAGGAAGCTATGGGTAATGGAAAGAGTCTGGAACCCACAAGGAATAGGCCTTGTCTGCAAAAGCTGCGTAGGTTGACCATCAACACCCACTATAGAAACTAAGGACTTAATACAGGGTCCTGAAAAATCAGGAAGAACACTACACTATACATGGCCTCTATGTCCACTGATATAGAGAGTGTCTTACCTCAGACCTCCAGTGGGACTTGGGGCTCTGAGAAGGATACCTTAATGGAGGGCTGTGGACCCCAAGTCCCATCAATCTTCAGCAGCAAGTCCCAAGTAGATCAGTCAGCAGTGAATCTGATGGTGATGAGATATATGAGATCCAAGGAGTTAGAGGATGGCTAGGACAGTTGCTCTTCCAGTCTCCCTTGAGATTGCAATAGGGGCAAGGCCCCAGAGGAACACCAGGCTTGGGGCACTCTCTTGCCCAGTGTCCTTTGTTGCACTTGAAGTATGGTCAGGGAGGGGTTCAGGCAGCTTCACCTTGTCTTGGTTTACCTGTCTCAGAGCTCCAAGTGTCACTGCTGGAAGATCAGATTATTTTTTCTTTTGATTTTTATCTCTGTTGTTGAAAATATGTAAACCCATATTAAGAAGGTCTTTCTGTGGGGTTTAAGGGCCAAGTTTAGCCTTTTGTCTTGGGATCTGGCCCACAGTTGAAGGTATCTGTCTCCTCCATAGTCACAAGACCTCTGGTTTTCTGTGTTGGCTATTTTGAGGCCCTAGCCTGGTCTGGCTGCCTATAATAACCCAAAGCACTGTGAAGAATAATGGGCAGAAACTGATCTGACAGGCTGAAGGGAGTTGAAGTTGTCGAATGGCAGTCAGGGATACTCTGTAGAGCTTTTAACTAGTGGCCCTCAGGAGACAGCAGGCATTTTTATACAGCTTTAAGTCTAAAGGAGACAAATGCAAAACATCAATTAAGTATGCAGAAGTCAAGTAATACAATCAACAGGTTATTTATTATGAGTATAATTTTAGTAATGGCTTCCCATAAGGAGGATAAGAATAAGGTTCAGGGAATTTTAGAAACTGGTGTGTCATTCATTTGTCATATACACATTTAGCTTTTAAATTGTGTAAGTACTTCCTATGCTATTAGAATGTCTAATGCCATCTGATTTGGAGGATGCCATCTGATTTTGGAGGATGGCCTGTTTTATTAATTTTACCTTTTTATTTAGGAGAGAGATCAGTTGCAGTGTCATTTAATACCAGTTGAGTATAGTTAAAAGAATCCAAAAGGAATTTATAATTATCTCTTAATTTTAGTTGTTGAACATCCAGAAGATTGGTAACAGTACAGTACAATAGAGGCATTAAGCTTAACATAGAACATTAGATGGAACTATTATTTTCTATTAACCATGGGTGTTTTAACATTTGAGCACTGAAGAAATTTGTGACATTATTTGGACTGCTCACTATTTAAGCGTCTCTATAACGTATACAGTACATAAACTTTTGTTTAAAAATTATTATTTGACTGGTGACCTTACGTTGGCCTGACTTGAAGTTTCCTGGCTAGAGCACAAGAAAAAGGCAGATGTTTGGATCTGAAAGAAAATACTTGTGATAAACAATCCCAATTTTATATATGAAGGCATGAATATACTATCAGATCAGCAACAACGAATTGTCTTAATTATGTGAACTTTAGTTGAAGTGTCTCCCATAAGGCTATGGAGATTATGGAGCCTCTGATTAATAAACAAGGACTGGTTAAAGTTACCAGGTGGCCACTTTTTTATTCAACAATTAAAGTCCTACCCAATGTCTCTTCACCCCAAGGGATTTTTGTTTAAGGAATTCTAGCATCATTTTGACCAGTTGGCTACCTAGGTGGAAGCATGTTTTTTTTTTTTTAATCTATAACTCAACCTGATTAAATGATGTGAAATTGTAAAAGAGGAAGAAAAAAATTGTTGAACTCATAAAGGAACAGATGTTTACAGAGCAGGCAAATGGACAAACAGACAATAGATATATAGACTGACAATCATCTTACAAAATCAGAGTGACTCAAATATATTTGGCCAATTTGAACTATAATAAATAGACTAGTGTGAACCTTTTTGTGGATTAATTAATAGAGATATCTTGAAATAAGAATGGCAGCAAAGGAACCTAATTTATGTTTTGATTCTCCTTTATGTGAGCTGCAGCAAGATGGTTGCTGAGAATCATGCAGCTTGTTGGAATGCTGGAATGCATGCAACTCCGTATGGTGGGCCGGTGGAGAAAATGGCAACACGGGGAAGAGGAAAAAGAACCCTCCAGTGGCATAGATGGCTCAGGTGGATGGGATTGAGAAATTGAAGTCTGGGGAGAGAAACTAAGGGAAGGATTAGAGGCCACTGGGGGTGAGGAAAGGGGAGAGGATGGCGCAGGAGGCATAGAAACCTCTGGCTGAGAAAGCTGTGGGATTTGGTCTTGGAGATACAGGGGATGAGCGTTAAAGACAGGAGCCACATCATCTAAGGAGCCTGGTAGGGTGGGAGGGAGAGTTATGGGTGGAACAGAGTGAGCCAGAAGTATTTGGGCCATCACAGAGGACAGAGTGGGAGGAGGACACATCCTTAAAGTAGAAAAGACCTATAGATGAAGGGTTTCTGCCAACTTGCTGTCACTGTGACAAAAGCATAAAATAAAAGCATAAAAAAACCAAAAAGTTTTTTGGTTTTTATAGCCTTCTTGAGGCCAAGAGCACCAAGGTTATGAACCAGGAACCCCAGAAGTGTTTTTTTCGGGGGACAGGAAATAGTATTCCCCGTGACTGAATTAAAAGTGAACAATTTTGCCTCAGGATGTAAGAGCTCTAGCCCCCCCCCCAACATGAAAATTGTCCCAGATCACACTTAACAAAAGAGATCATCACCTATTTTGAAAGTATGACACGGAAAGTCCCAACACCCATTCTCCTTGGCCTTCACCAAAGAGTGCGGGGCGGGATCCCAAGGAACAAAAATAACAGTTTTGCCTCAGGCTGTAGGGCCTTAAGGAGCATGAAAATGTTATCCCTGGGACGGCAGGGAAGTTTTTCTGCAGCAAGCTTGCAAATTTTAGGACAGCAGGATAGGTTTTCCACTGCAAGCTTGCGAATTTTAAGAACGGTAACAGAAAACCCCAGACCTGTGATGAGTGAGGAAGGTCGCTGTTCCATGCAGTGCCACTCACTATGCCTTCTCGGTCAGAGAACCATTAATGTGAGGGATTTTGTCACAATAGAGAAGCAAAAGTACAAAAAGAACAGAGATGAGCACGTGGGAAGGAGCATACCACCCACTGTGGCTGCGCTCTCATTCCACCGGAATATGGGGGTGTGGGACATACGTAACGTTTGAGTGGAGGTGGTGCTTAGGGTGGGCATTGATGATTCAAGAGGAGCTGATTATAGTTTTCTTTGCATGCAAACAGGAAGGGGAGGTGCAATTAAGGCTGAGAAAGAAGCAGGAAGTGGTAGGCGTTTCCATGTTGGCCTTCTGCCATGTTAAACCATCGCCATAAATGTACAGTAATTTATACTAGGACAAGAACCTTTCACAAAGCAGGATGCTAGGAAAACAACTACCATAGTATATCTTGTTATCTTCACATTAGTTGTCCATTCTGTCACATATAGCAAAATCAAACCAAAACAAAACAATAAAACCAATCACAACAAACGTTGAATAAAGCAAAACGATCAGAACAAAACAAAACAACAGTGAGAACAATATTGGACTTCAAAGACAGTGGGAAATCCCTGATAGCAAGTGAGGTATGAAAAGCAGCTAAATGCTTGTATTGTTTGGTTGATTTTGCAAGTCTAGGATTGGCAGTGTGAGCATCTATTGAAGGATGGCAATATGCAATATAGAGCAGGTTTTTGGAAAAGGACCATGTGCTCTACTGGAGAGAGAAAACATTTTAATTTGTGTTTGTGTGTGCATGTGTGTACTCCTGTATTTTGAACTAACACACAGGAATTGCTAATAGCTTTGTTTCTATTGATGTTCTATGGAAAGTATATAATATATACCACATTTTCCTGGATACTTTTTCAGTGGAAAATTTTGGAGTTCCTGTGGGCTAATAGGATCTCCCTCCAGCCTTGGCTGATTATTAGTCTGCAGTTATAATACCAAGAGAGGGAGCTGCAAACCCCACACACCAGGAAATGGTATTTTGGGATGTTATCTTGATATGCCATACTTATACCGTATCTCCAAGAAATTAATCCCATCTTAAGGCACTTGAATGTGCTGAAGTGTCAGTTTGATTCACAGCTGAAGTAGTGGCAGTCACCGAATGGGAGTGATTTGAACAATTATTTCTGGTTCTTTTTCTCCATTTTCTTTTTTCCTTTTTCTGTTTCTTTTTGAGGTAGTGGGGACTGAAACCAGAGCCTGCTCACTGAGCTCAGCTACGCCCTTCTTCCTTTTGTATTTGGCCCAGGGTTTCCTGAAGTTGCTGATGAGGTCCACCTGCTGGTCTTGAATTTCAGCCTCCTGCTTCAGCCTCCTGGAATACTGGGATTAAAGGTATATGTCATGATGCCTTGCATGGTGCTACCCAGGTTTCTGAGGGCAGATGTGATGCAGAAAACATGATGCTTTAGGGGACAATGCTTGCAGGCCAGTTGAGTTACTGAGAAAGGTAGGATCAGGTTTTGGTGAAATTCCTTTTGGTGCACCCTATCCTGGATCCTGTAGATGCTTGAAGAGTAGGCTGGCCAAGTGGTGACTTGAAACCCAGGCCACACCGTGACAATCAGTAGTCCCTGATCTCAAGATGATCACGTGGTGTTTGGGAGAAACTTAGTGGAGGGATAGTTCACTGTTTATGTAGTCTTTTTCCCTCTCACTGTAGCAATCTGAGATAAATCAGACATTTTCCCCTGTTACTGAGTAGCTGACTTGTAAAAGTTGTTTTTTCTATGAAGTATTTATATTTTATGGTTAGTTTTGTTGATAATTTACTATGTTACAATCTTGAAGTTATGTCCTTATATGAACTCCTTATGATGAATGTTATGTACTAACGGAAATAAAAATTAAAATGAATTAACTTTTAGAGTCTATCACCTTTCTTTTTTCTTTTTTTTTTTTTTTTGTCCTTTTCGTTTTTATCGGTACCAGGGATCGAACTTCACGACTGCCTGCTTGCTTATGCCGCTGAGCTAAATCCCCAGCCCCTCACCTTTCTTTTATAAAGATACTTATATCTCAAAGAGCCCAATTTTCTGTTAGTGAACCGAGGTCCCACTCAGCATTCTGTGTTTTCAGAGCTATTATGCATCCCTGATTGGGTTTGAATTGCCTTTGCAAACAGTGAGTGGTCGACGTAGTAAATGCATATCCATTCTTCTTTGGTCTGTGTCTCCATTTTCTTTTTCTTTTTACAATGCTGAGATTGAACTACACCCTTTGCACAGAGCTCCACCCCTAGTCCTTCTTAAATTTTTAACTTTATGACAGGTTTTCACTAATTTTTCCCAGGCCGGCTGGAACACGGGGTCCTTCTGCCTTGTGTCGCCGAGTGCTGAGATTAAAGGCGTGTGCTATCACACCTGGCTTATGTCTTGAGTCCTAAATCAGTATCCATTCAAAGTGAAAACATGGGCAAGAAGTTTGGCCTGTCTTTTGAATACCAGAGGTTTGTTCAGGAGGATAAAACTTAGAAGTTGAGTAGCAAATTATGAAAAATGTCAGAAGGTTGTTGTTTTGTTTTTTTTAAGGTCAGTTGAAGTGAGGGGTTAAAGCTGTTGGGGCTAGTGTTACATTTGGATGCTGGGCTCTGGACATGAAGAGGACAAAGTGCCTTCTGGCCAGCAGTTTTGTTCAATTACAGGTAAATAATTCTCAGTCATAAAACTACCCCAATCTGACACTGCACAGAAACTGTTGTAGACTTGTTTGGTTTCCTCACTAGTGGGTAAAGTCCAATTTGTTTCTTAAATTTGCGGCAGTGCAGTTCAGAATCTTTTTCTTGTACGAAAACTCTAGTGCTTTTGTTGCATTTATTACACAGATGGATCTATAAAAAACAATAATGAATTAACTCACCCTATGAAATTAAAAAAACTTCACGTCATTTAATTTTAAATATTTTTGTGTATGTTAGTTGGATGTGAGAAAGCAGTATTCCCAAAACCCAAGAAGTGAGGGTTTCTTTGTTTTACTTCACTGTTTTTATATCTAGTTTGAAAATAGAAACACACCAAATAGTTAGCTTAAAAGTATACTTCTAGGAGTTTCAAGTTTGGACCTTTCTTGGACAGTTTCAGGAAGAAGTATAAGTTTTAAGTGAGATGTAGCAAGTGGTACCTGCTGAAGAGTCCCCCTGTCTGCAGTGTGAAGTTCTCACGATTTATGACTGAACTTGGGTATGTCTTCCAGAAATCTGGCACTCTCCCATGTGGAATGGTCCAGGTGAATGTTGTACAAGGGTAAGGGCAAGAACAGAAAGACCCTTTACTGGTATCTGTACCATGGTGTACCTAAAACTGTCCATGACAGAGGGAAGTGGAGACTCACTGTTCTGAGGATCAGCCATTCTGGCCAAGGTTCATGCTTGACATGTGGATCGTGTCAGGGAAGCTCAAGCACTGTATATTGTTAGGGTTGGTGGTGGATTTCTCAGGCACCCTCTGAACTGCACTTCTCCTTTGGCAAAAGAAAACTGAGAGGGTGACAGTGGGTGTGCTTATTTCTAGTAGGGTCTTTGTTAGGGGGACAACTTTAACTTCACCTGCTGAAGGGGATGAGATACTATTTTCAGTATCATGTCTGTTCATAAATAGGTGAGCACATTCTTTGGGAAAGCAAGGTTGCTCTTAGGCAGAGGTGGTGTAACCAGTTCTCTCCTCCCTTTGGGGACTTGTCCTCAGGGTGGTAAAGAACGATGTCCAGAGACACAGCAAGGAGACAAGACCTGAATGTAGTTCATTAGAACAAAGAAAAGCTCACTCTAGCTGAGGGGGTCCAGGCAAGGTCAGCGAGGAGGTGCCAGGTTTAGGGGTTCATACGCAGGCTTTAATGAGCTATTTTGGTTGGTATGCAAAAAATAAACAGTGTCTTTGCTGCTTTTAGCTAGGCCTCTCATGTGAGGGGAACAGATCTGCCCTCTTCCTGCCCGCTAGCTTCCTGGGGCACAAGGGCTCTCTCTCATTGTGTTTTAAGTTTCCCAGGGTTTATTTTGACTTACTCTGATCGCTGTCCTAGCTGCCTTCTGTTTGTCTGTCTCACAGTCCCTGAAGGAGTGCCCAGGGGGAAGTACACTAGCTCATTCACGGTGTGACTGCTACTGTACCACACCCCTGGTCGTGTCTCCGCCACTAGGGTCTAGCTCACCGTGGTCCTCTTCATCACCCTTCTCTCCATGTGTCGTACGTGGCTCAAGTGTCATTTCACTGGTACAGGTTTGTAGGACAGTGTATGGGGACAGTGACTAAGTTCACTTTATTGAGAGCGAAGTGATGGCACAAGGTTAAAAGTGTGTTGCCTCCTCTCAGGCAAGTGATATGATAGGTGAACAAGGGCGAGTGTTTGGCAAGCATGGAGTCCCGTGTCCTTGAATCATAAGTATGTCAGGCTGGCTCTTGAAAGTACTTTCTGTGCTCCAAAATGTGTTGTCAGTGTGGCCTGTGATAGAAAAGTAGCTGTTGTCCCAAACATACATTCTTTCTCTTTTTCCACATTTACTGTGAGGGGCACACTAGGAAACGGAGATTGATCCACTGCAAATGGGAAGGGGACCAAGAGATGGAGAGAGAGTGAGGAGAGGGGAGGGGGAGGGGTGGAATGGAAAATTAGATGGCTTAAGATACGATACGCATGTGTATCACCTCCCCACAGTAATGTGGTCACTAGGTAAAGGTTAAAAGTTACAGAGGAGAGTCTGAACATGAAAGGGCCCTTAGGACAGAAGAATTCTCACACTCAGGGATCAGCCTAGAAAAGTCAGGACCTGCTCCTCTAATATTCAGCCCCCCACAATCTGTGGCTCACCCCGAGAGCACCACACAGTCCCCACGCCATCTCATGAGACACCTCACTCCTGCCTTGTCTACTTCCTGCTCCTTTTGCAGACAGCCTTCTCTCCACTGGAGCGCCTGTCACATACAAGTGATGTGGTGACATAGCGGCTGTCTCACAGAGCGAGCTGAACACCGTGGGCAGATCTCAGTTGGCTGCTCTTCATTCCTTCCCCAGGTAGGAAATGCTTTCCTTGGAAATGCAGAAGCTTATTTTTACCACATATTGGTCCCAGAAAAGGTTTTTATTGTTCTTGGGGAGCAGATAATGGATAGAAATTCCTTGGCTGTGTCATTCTCTGTAATCATACAGAATGCTATAAGACAGCAAAGGAAATTTGAATTCTGAGGCCAGTTTTGTCTTAAATAAAGGTAGCGTTATAGATGAAATGACAAAAACCATGTTGTTTTTTAACTTCAGTAGCCAAAGTGCATGGCAGTTTCATAGTTTAAAAAAAAATATTAAACCTGAAAGCAGCTTGTCCCTTTTTCAACTCCATAGTTTTCACAGACATTGAAACTCAAACAGAGAGGACAGAGCTGAGGTATAGCTCAGTAATAATGCAGTTGCCACATGCATGAGGCTGTGCCTTTGCCCAGCAAAAGGTATTTACATAAATGTGTATTTTTAGATTTCATACATATGTGAAAAAGGTATCAGTGATAAGGCGCCTTTAAGATCAGTATCTATTCTAGTGATAAACTGCCTGTTAACTGTGAAGGACATCTCTTGGAGCATTCAGGTGAGCACACAGCCTCAGGAGAGATTGTGTATACAATCAGTTTTCAGACAATCCCCAAGTTTCCTTCTAGGGTTACTGCAGGTTCTGTATAAATGATGAGCCTGAAATTTTTCTGGCACTCTTAATTGTGACTTCCAACCTGTAGAACTGTGAAAATAGCTGCTTACTTAAGCCATCCAGTGTTTATAGCCCAAACTGCTAAGACCCTGTCCCTGGGATTAGCTGGGAATGTGAATCCTAAGCCTGCCTTTAAGCTGCAGCAATAAATGCTGTTAAATGTTTCTTTGGTTTTGTTGTTAGAATTGTGCCATGAACATTGCCTACCACTGACCTTTGTCCCCAGCCCATTTTCTGTTTAAGGAGAGAGAATTTGTCACTAATTCAGGCAGGCTGGCCTTGAACTTGGATCCCCTGCTTTATTGCCCAGATGAGCTAGGACTTCAGGAGTGTGCTCCTGGCTATGGCTGAGCTTACACTATTAATAGGTTTGTGTAATTCTTTTGTTGTTATATTCATGGGAAGTCATAAAGGTTGGGTAGCAAGGATTAACATGTTTATTGAAGGAGTAAACACTTTGACATCTGTAGGCTCGGGAAATAGGTTACTGTAATATTTTTAGCCAAAGCACCATTTTTGTTTGTTTTTTTGAGACAGAGTCTATGTAATTCAGGCTGGCCTTGAACTCCAGGTAGCCCAGGCTGGCTTTGAACTCATGGTGATCCTCCTGCTTCAGCCTTCTGAGTGCTGAGATTACAGGTGTGCGCCATCCCAAAGCACCCTGGGAATTCCTGTCTGCCTGAGAGGGAGCACAAATCTGAGCAGTGGGTTAAAGACCCAGGATTGTTTGTCTTTTTCTCTGTGGTCTCGTCCCAACACCACACCCTTTCCTCTAAGACGTTCTCCTCCTGATTCTTAAGCAGAAATGGATGGTGATCTCTATTGTTTTCAGGAGTCACCAGGATGCCAGAAGCCTGGAGCCCCAGGACTATGAGAGTGGCTTTGCACATGCCCCAAACACTGTCAACCGGAGTCAGCTTCCTGAGAGACTGGACCTGCCCTGCTGCCCGCGCAGGCCCTGGAAGATCACCCCACAGCCCTCTCCGCTGGTGAGAATCTGATGGTTGCGCTGTTGCTTTCTAAACACAGGGACGTGAGTTAGTGACCAGGATGAGAGCCCTGACATGGACAAAGTCGATGACATGGAAGAAAACCTGGGAAGCAGTGAGGAGAGGAGAGGAGAGGAGAAGAGAGGAGAGGAGAGGAGAGGAGAGGAGAGGAGAGGAGAGGAGAGGAGAGGGGAAGAGAGGAGAGGAGAGGGGAAGAGAGGAGAGGAGAGGAGAGGAGAGGAGAGGGGAAGAGAGGAGAGGAGAGGAGAGGAGAGGAGAGGAGAGGAGAGGAGAGGAGAGGAGCAGCACCCCTTCTCCTCAGGAAGCACAGGCCCCTGGATTGTGAGGACACCTTTCAGTCCCCCACAGCTCGGCTACTTTCACCTGCATCATGAAGATACACCGCAGGAAGCAGACAAGGGGAACAAGAGTGTGCATTTCATTGCAAACAATGGGAATAGTAGAGCTGGAGCTTTCAAACTGCTTCAGTTCTGGGATGAGGTTATGTTTTCAGCGAGGGGCCACAGGGCGGGTTTCCTTGGAGGATGAGGAACCTTTTTTTGGGGGGCTGCTGGTGGGCTGCTGGTGGGCTGCTGCCTCTCACTGTCCTCCTCAAACAAGCGAGGACTATTTCAGAGCCAGCAGAAGGCCTGGCTCCAGTCCCTACGGTTGTGGTTCCAGTGTCAGACTGAGTATCATGTCCTGAGTGTCCCAAGGGGACCGAGCAGGGCTTCTTGGTGCTGGTCTTCGGCATCTGCCGGAAAAAGCAGGATGCATGAGATGAATGTAACGGCCATCAGTACACCTGTGTTCACTCATCTGTGGGATGCAGATCCTTCCATTGAAAGGACCTAACTGTAATTGCTCAGTTTCAACATCAACAGGAAAGCCCAGATATCCTCAAACAATTGTTGTTTTGGGAGTAGCGGGGGGATAATAGCCCTTGTCTTTCTTCCCGGGCTCCCTTCCTCTCCCATTTGTCCTTGGTGCTCTTCCCGAATCTCCTCCATGGCCCCTGTCCTCCCTGTCCTCCCTGTCCTCCTCTCCCCTGTGCACCCTGTCAGCACCCAGGGTCCAGCCCTGGTAACAGGCCCAGCAGCTCCACCGGGCTGGTCTTCTCCTCTCCTGGGAGCCCCTGTGCTCACCTCAGCAGGCTCCTCTTCCTGGATCATCGTCAGCATCCCTGGGACGCAGATGACATATGCATGATCCCACGGTTTGCAGGGGGCAGCTCCTGGAGTGTGTGCTGTTCTTGCCGAGGGACCTGAGCTGGAGGAGAAGGGCAGCCGCTGCCCAGCTGGGAATCTTCCAGTTTTTCCCAGAAGAGGAGGGCATCAGCTTTGTGGCAGCGCTGACTCTGAGTGTCCAGTTCCTGATGTTCCTGGCTGTTCTGTGTTTCTCCTGGCTCCTCGTGGTTTTCACTGTGCTGTTTTCCATCGTCCTCATTAGATGGACAGTACCAGCATGGTGGCATTGGGTCTTGCGCTCACCCGAATAGGTTCATGAAGCTGTGTATACTCTTCGTTTCTGTGGGTCTCTTCATGGTTCTTCTTTTCCATATACACTTTTTTTGTTCTGTTGACTCAGGTGGTCCCCTATAACCCTGTTTTTCACAGTTTTCAGTTGGTTTATCGACTTCCTGACCTTCATCTTTGCTGCTCTTGCTTTCTTCCTTTTCCTCCTCGGTGTCACCATCCTCATGTTTGTGTTTTTCAATGGATTGAGGAAGAACAAGGTGAAATTCAGGCCCACCATCCCAGGGGTCGATCCATTGCCCTCTTGTATATCTGCTGGTCATTGGTGGTGACCACTGGATCGGCTGCTGGGCCTTCACTGTTTGAATCTGTATCCTGATCCTCTTCCGTGTTAATGCTTGATGTCCACATCCAGCTCAGGTTATCCTTGGTGTCACATTTCTTGTCTATGCAGCTTCCTAGAGTTTGTGTGTTCTCTTGTTCTTCGACAGGAGGGAGTTTGGTGACAGAAGAACCTACAGCACATCCTTCATCAAAGGTTGTTATGTTACAGTGACAGCTGTATCCTTTGGAAGAGGGCTTGGCCTCTTTGTGGAAGGTGTGGGAGGCAGGGAGGTCACCTCCTGCGATCTGCTCTGTTGAGTTAACTTTCCAATGGGACTGCTTTGAATCTGAGGTGTTGCTGCTGGGCTCTGGGGTTGCCATGAAAAGTTGTGAGACTTCAGAAGAAAGTGAAAAAAAGACAGGGAAAACAAGAGTCATATTCTTAGTTAATAAAATTCAAGAATCTGTACACACACACACACACACACACACACTTAAACACACATGTTTCCAGTCTGCAGAGCCCTGCCTTTGCATCTGCTCACCTGAAAGATCAACTCTCAGTCTCTCATTCAGATGAAGAGACCTCAGAAATCCTTGAGAGTCTGAGTCTCTGTGGCCAAGAGAAAACAGAAATCTGTGCTCTGTGAGAGAATTACCATGGCAGTATTGGAGCCAAGTCATCATGGGAGATGGAAGGGGAGGAAAGGGGCCGAGGACCTGAGGGCCTATTCACTGTCTTCTAAAATATCCTGTGCACACAGCATTTAGGCTAAAGAACACCTGTCCTGCCTGCAGAAGCGTAAGTGACATGCAGGTCGCTGTGCTGTGTTACAGTGGGTCTAAGAAGACCCACACCCTCAGGGCACTCTGGGCCTCTTGGAGAAGACACACATCATCTGAGCATTGTGGTCAGGGGGGAAGTGCAGTGGAAGAGCTTATAGATGACATCGTGAGCAACCAGAAGGGCGGCTCTTTCAGGCAGGCTGGGAGTGCATAGGAGACCAGGAACACAGCCCTGGTGATGCCTTGGAGAGGAAGTGATGGAGGAAGCAGTCAGGAGGCAGGCATGATGCCACAGGCCTGCAATCTCAGCTCTTGAGGGGCTGACGAAGGAGGAGCATAAGCTCAGGCCTACTAGGCCACGTAGTAAGACCTGGTCTCCAAACAAATCCCAAGTACACAAGACGAGGTAGTTGGTGTGATCAGGGGTGGGCTGATTCCTGTGTCCTTAATTTGAGTCCCTGTCTGTCCTTGTATTTCTGTATGTGGGGCCTGTAGAAATGAGTTCATAAATACGGGACACTGGGGTGTTGTTACGAGAATCCATACCAAAGTGATTTCCAGAAAGTTCACATCCATGGACACAGTCATCATCCCACCAGCTAATGGCATATTTAGCATACCATATCCCATGATGCTCTAGCTATTAAATGGGTGTGGAAGAATGTGTGGTTGCACAGACACACTTTTCTAGGTAGTAGTGCCTTGATCTGGAGGCTGCCTAGCTGCTAAATAATTTACAGAATTCTTTGAGATCACGGGACGTATCTCCATGTTTCTGATTTATTCTGTGCCAAGTTGTGCAGGATAAAGACTATCCCTCCTGTTGGCAGAAGCATGAATGCCATAGGGTAGCTTGCTTTTGTTGTGGAGTCTGAGACAATCTATGTCATTGGGGAATTCAGAGCTTCTTTGTGGAGCTGCAGATCAGCACTCTAGTAGAGGACAGGGTGTAAGAGTAGCTGAACTTTCAAATAATGTCATTTGAGGATGTAGACGGGGACTTCATGTAGGCAGGAGTTAAGAGGAGAGCAGGACTTACCTCCTGAGAGACAGAAGTCTTCCAATCTCAAAACTTTCAAAGTAGTGGTGATACAGCCATGGTGGGGCACACCTGAGATCTTACCTGTTGGGGAGCTGAGGAAGGAGCATCGTGAGTTCCAGGGCAACCTGGTCTACATTGAAAGATCTGTCCTCCAGGAAAAGCAGCAGAAGTTGTAGGTGATATAGGAGAAATGTAACTCCCAACCTGTGGGATGTTAGATGTCTGAGTTTGTATCCTCTGAAATCAAAGAATGACTTTCACTAAACAAGGCTGGTTAATAGTAGAAGGGGTTTGTTAAGAGATAGCTCCTGAGAGACAGGAGGGGTCCTGAGCAGGTTGTTGCCAAGGTTCTCTGTCAGGGGTAAGTTAGCAAAGTCACAATGTGGGTATAACATAGGTCAAACTACAACCTATAGGGTAAGCATTGTAGCCAGTTAGCTAATACTCATCTAATAGGAAAATGAGTCACATAGCAAGGGCACATGGGAAGAACAAAGGCACTTGGGAAAGGATGGATCTGGACACCCGCCACGCCCACCCTGGCAGCTGATGCCTCTCTGGACTCACTTGACCAGGTGGTGCTAATTCCAGAATAATTCCAGCTTTGGGGAGGCCAGCAGGCCTGGCAGCTGTGTTCCTTTTGGAGGCCTGCCCTTCTTAGATGTGTCTCCACCCAGAGCTTGATGTGTTTATTTTTCTGCTAACTTCCTTGAGCACCTGCCCCCTCAGACCCTGTGTTAGTTTCTACCTAACTGAGCTTCCTGTAGCAGAGGTGTGTGGGGGAGGGTAGAGCTTAAGCCAGAATGCTCAGGCGAGGAGCTGATGTGTGGGGCGGTCCATGTGGTGAGGGACATGGCCATTGAGGTCTGGTGGCCTCTGTCCCCCTGCGCCTGGTGAGGAGCGTGGGTTGCAGCCCCTCATCCAGTGGAAATGGCAGTATTCGAGTATGAGGCGCCCTCACACACCGGGCCGAGCACCCTGAAATGTTTCCCAGGATTGAAAACCCGAATCCCAACACCACACCTCTTAGCCGGAACATGCTGGGGTCTGTCTGTGGGTTGCAGCAGAGGAGCCGGGCTGCCCTGGGCAGAGGGGTGAAGGGGCAGAGCATGGGCTGCCCCTTGGGGCTTCCGGGGTGAGGGAGGACCAAGGGCACGCGGTGTCAAGGGAAGTTCCTGTGCCTGCCCTTCAGGGTTCCCGCCCTTTCCTTACTGCCCCTCCAGGGCACCTTCACCCACATCCAGTGTGGAAGGTCGGGGGCCAAGCACCCAGCTAGGCTTTCCCGCAGCAGCAGCTGTTGGGCCTGGGCTGCCGAGCTCGTTCTCCAGGCTCTGTTTTCCTGGTGCATCCCTCTTCCTCGCTTGCCTCCCGTGTGGGGTCTCAGCCTGAACCCCTGGCCAGAAGCCCCTTCTGTGACTCCTGCTTCGTGACCGCACCACCTGTCTTTCAGCATCTCGGGGATGGGGCCAGGTTAGTGCTGTGGCACAGACATTCCCTCCCTGTGGGGCTGGGGCACAGCTTTGCGATTCCTCCCAACCTCTGGGGGTTTCCCTCCCCTCCCCTTGCCCAGAGTCTTTTCCTAAGTCTCCAGCGCCTGGCTCCCTCCCTGCAGCTGCTGTCCTGGGTCTCCAGTTACTTCCCTTTACCTCTGTGCCCTGCGTGGACTCCTGCTCACCTGGTTGGAGTGACCATTGCCGTCCTTACAGCCGTGGGGGCAGCGTTGCTTGGCGTGAACCAGTGAAGCTGTGTAGCGTGGTTTTTCTAAGTCCTTGTGACTGTGGTGTGGACCCTTCAAGGCCCGCTATCCCCACCTCTGAGGAGGTGTGCTTAGCACATGGGTGCATTGAAAGGTTTAGTATATGGGAAGCAGGGTTGTGAGGACAGAAGCAGCGCATCCTTTGGGAAGCCCTCTATTCCCTGCATGTTGCTCAGCATGCCTATTAGTCCACTGAACATGTCTTCTTTCATCCTGCATCAAGAAGATTGCTCCAGAAAGCAGACCAGAAGCACTAGAAGGTTAATTTTATTGAGAAAAAATGAACCTGTAGGAATTACAGAACTGGGTCATACAGTGTTAACAAGTCTTGTGGTTGAGGTTATGCTACTTTGCTGACAGTTTGTTGAGGGTGATTTTTGTGGGGGCTAAGAAACCTTTGACCATCACTCTCCCCAAAGAAACCAGATCTGTTTTTGTTGATCCAGCCCAAGGCCTGCCTGGATTTCACACCAGTGGTGAGGATTTGAACCCCTGTTGTGTTTTGGTTGCCTTGGGAATGGCAGACTGGGTGTGTGAGCACAGCGAGGTGTGGGCTGTGTTCACCTGGGAGGAGAGGGGCATAGTTAACAGTGAGGGGTGTTAGCCTGGTGGGAGTTCAGGGCCTACTTGGCTCCTGGGGCAGTCGGGAGGAAGCTGATGCTCAACCTCCCCTTACTGCTCCAGGAGACCGAGAGAGACGTCCTGCGTGTTTGTCTTTTACATTCATCTTTTCCCTTACTATAAGGAGGATGAGCTAGATAAATGTAATAACCCAGTAGTGCAGCCAGTATTTACTCATGTTTGGAACTCAAATCCTTTTACTACAGATAGCCCAACTAGTTTCAAAATCAACACTGAAGCACAGAGATCCTCAAAAAAAAAAAAAAAATTGTTTTCCCCACATCTCTTCCCTGACCCCTGTCCTTCTGTCAGCCCCAGGGTGCAGCCCTGGTTACAGAAGGTAGTGATGCCCACGCTGTCTGACCTAGCAGTCCACTGGGGGGCCTGTCCGCTCCTCTCCTGGGAGCCCCTTTGCTCACCTCAGTGGGCACCTCTTTGTAGGGGGTAGAAGGCATCCCTGGGTCTCGGATGATATTTTTATTTTCCAGTGGTTTATGCACGGGTGTGTCTTCACATGTACTGCATTCCTCATGATGTAGAGAGGAACTGCTGCCCGGCTGGAAACTTCCTCAGGTGATTCTCAGAACAGTAGGGCACTATCTTTGTCATTTTCTGAGCTTCTTCATCAGACACCTTATTTCATTCACCATTGTTTTGAATTTATTACTTCAGATTTTCGTTTTCCATTTTTTTCACCTCCCACAATGGATTCAATTGAGATGTTATCTCATGTTTGCCGTGTTTCTTCTTATGAAAAAGCATGAGAAATGGAAGAATTAAGATAAAGGAATTGAACTCAATCAGGGACAGGTTTTAGTGGAGGTGACCTGGACTATTGGCAGCTCGACCAGAGTGGTGGCATCTCTCACAGACTACAGACAGGGCTTCCTAGGGCTGGAAGAGGAAGTAGTGGCTGTCTGAGACAAGGCTGTTTTTCAGGCTGTAATCAGTAAGACCATTCTACTTGTGTTTACCTTTCCCAAGCAGGGCTGACAGGGCCTTGTTGGTCTGGGCCTGTGTACTCTGGGAAAG